GATTTATTCGGAAATTTATTCCCGCGGCTGTCCCCGCGCCAGATTTCTGCGGCGCGGGAATAAATTTCCGAATAAATCGCGGGAGCAGAACTCTAGCACGGAGCTCCATAAACAAACAGCACGCGTCGTGTTTTTAACGTGACTTTGCACGCGATAAGATAAAATATCCAGTTAACCTGATACAGTACACGCGGTTACAAGTAACAAATCACAACTAAATACATTTGCAAGCTAGAGTCAACGAGGCAACAACTTTAACCGCACGTACTTACACTTGAGAAATGGAAGAAACCCATCCTGACGTCTATCAGTTACTTTTTACTGATCCTTCCTTTAACAAACGCAGATGAAGTATTCTTTGTAGCATGTAGCTTCCAGAAGTTTCCAACTGCTTGGTTATAATGCTGAGGTTTCATCTTTGGGTAGAGACTCAATATAATGTCCATCTGCAGTGTGACTTCAATCGACCGGCATGTTTGTGTGCGTGTGCGTGTGTTTGTGTGTGTGCGTGTGTTTGTGGGTGTGTGTGTGTGTGTCTGGGTTTCTGCGTCAGAGGGCGGGGCCTCAGGTTTGAAATCTCCCGGGTTTGCGCGTGCACGTGAAAAACTTGGTTTCGTTCGTACGTCATGGCGAAACACCTAATGAGTCGGTATCAAGGCGACTCGTTTGAAGCACTATGAGTCGACTCTTTTATAGATGAATCAACCGTTTTAAACACTGTATTCTTACAGATTTAAGCCTTAGCTGGATACTTCACTTCACTTAGAGCTGTGTTACACACTACATGGAGGGGAATTTTCAAAAACCCATAATATGGGCTCTTTAAGAGTTGTGCTTTTACGCATAGGAATATCAGAATACATCAGTGATTTTTTTGTGTCTCACATGATTAATGTCATTTGACCCATCAATCATTACAAGGTTCATAAATATATAAAGTCTCGTGGTCCTCTTATCTGAACTCAAATTTAGCAGTTTTCTTATATTTCAAAGTATTCAAGAATATATTAGATGACATTTAATATTCAGTTTTATTAAATAACAATAGTCAATAATTCTAATTGACACAAACTCCAATAGTTTTGTCATATTATTAACCTCTGAAATCACACTGTTAATGTAATCTGTGTTCTTCTTTCTCAGATTGGTCATGTGTAATCTCACTGTTCAGTGCTTTGAGAGTTTGTCTTCAGCTCTACAATCCTCAAACTGTGTGCTGAGAGAGCTGGACCTGAGTAACAATGACCTGCAGGATTCAGGAGTGAAGCTTCTCTCTGATGGACTGAAGAGTCAACACTGTAAACTGGACACACTGAGGTAAATGATTCTCCACTCTACAGATACAGTTATACTGGGTTACCAAATGTTGAGCCCATATAGAGGGTTGTGATTTCAGTCAGCTTTAATAATGTATGTTTATCTATAAAATATATTCAAAAGCCTCACTAAGTTTATTATAAAATGTTGCACTTTCAGAGCTTCTCTTTATCCAGTATACCTAAATGTGACTTAAAGTTAAAGGAATCAGTTTATTTTAAGGATCTTTATAATGAATTACCTCTGAATTATTTATTCATATTTTATATTTTTATATTTATATCTGTTGTGTCCTGGTGAAGTTTAGACATGCTCTGCTGTTTGTTCAGTTTGCAGTTTCTTCTAAACATATAAAAGTCTCACGACACTCTTAATATTATCTAAACCAGTGGTCCACAACCTTTTTCTAACTGCGCCGTCTCCACAAATCCAGTTTAAATGCAGCTTCTTTATCTGCCAACTTAAAGATAATTCATTCTTGTTCAGCCCGGTACTGATTGATCCACGCACCAGCACCCGCCTGGGGGTTGAAGACCACTGATCTAAACCACTACAATAATATGAAGACACACTATAAGCATGTATTCAGCAGTTTACTGTAAGAGACCTGGTGAACTGATGTATTTACTACACATGCATCTGAAAATAACCCTGATTACTCATTCACATGAAGCAATAGATTGACTGAAGATCTTCTGTCAGAAAGGCTGTGTGTGAAGGAGAGTCAGCGCTCATGATTATTGATCAGGTGTTTCTCAGCTGACAGAATAAAAGTCCCCTAATGCTCCATCAGTGTGAATGTGACTGTCAGGCTGGTGAAAGAGACATTAAGAGAGCGGGTTTGTGTTTGTTTTAGTTTATTTACATCATCGTCCACAATATAATATACAAATGAAGATCAGGTCATGTTCTGTTGCTCTTCATACAGTAAAGTTTGATCTACAAGCTGAAGTTTGTGACAGGTGGGGGTTGCAGCCCAACACCATGGTACAACACCATGAGGTAGCCTGACTGCCATTAGGTACTGAGATGAGATCCTCAGACCCTTGTGAGACCATATACGGTCTGGTTGACCCTGGATTCCTCTTAATGCAAGACAATGCTGGACCTCATGTGTCTGGAGTGTGTCAGTAATTCCTGCAGTTC